TATATATATAATGCATACACAGTAACTTTTTTTTATTTTCTAAAATGTAGAAAATATAAGAGGCTATGGCCAGAAACTTACTGAATCAGCCGTAACATGTTTGACCATATGATTAACAGACACCTAGTAAATGAAAGAAGGACACAAAAATAGGTACAGATTAGTAAGTATCACACTGAATTAAACATGTAATTTTGAAGTAAAAAGAATAGTATTTTCTTGAAAAACATACTCCAATATAGTCTTTGTTTTATTTACAACTTTACAACAAAATAATATTTTTAACGTGGAAAAAAGTCAACGTGAAATGGTCATCACCCATTTTACTTCAGTGATGTATTTCAGTGTGAAACTCTATATTCAATGAAAGATTGTTTGATGAAAGTATAAAGTGAATAAGGTATTCACAATAAGACCAGAAACATATAGTAAAAAAGTAAATCAGATTTTTTCTATTTTGATTTTTTAATAATAACATTTTGTTGATGTGTAATACATAAAGACATTCAAACTTCTAGAGCTGCTCATAGCATTTTGCTACATTTATTGAGGAACTCCTAGTATTTAATGTCCAAGTGTCAGATGCTATTAGCTATCCATCATACACATTTGTTCAAATGTCAAATAAATCACAAAGTGAACCAACTTCAAATCAAATAAATAAACTCAACTTAATTTGAATTTCGCACATTAGCATAAAGCTATAAACTGAATGAAATGGTTTGGCAATTGATTGGGTGGGGGTAATAAATACTAGAGAAAATCACTCATGCTGCCTTTATGGCACGGTAAATTATCCAAAGCCTTCTGCAATGTCCTCCTGGCTCGGCGCAGTGCGCAATAACCCACAAAACCCTCTGCAATATTTATCAGCACACACACTGCCGATGTGGCCAAGTAAAGTGCAGAGTAGCAGAACACAAAAGAACAATGTCATTCATTGTATGATTTAGGTTAAATGCTCATTTAATGTTGGCTATTCAAATTTGTGTTTGAGCAGGAAACTAAAATGACTATCAAGAAGCGAATTTAAGCTATCCATCAAGCCCTAATATAAATGATTTTAGTTTAATGTTCAATGTTCAGTCACCTGTTGAATTCATAGAACACAGTTGAAAAGGCACACAAAAGTATGCAGCACTGATGTCGGCTCATCGATAGCATTCTTGCTCTAATTGAATACATTCTTTCATATGGGGAAATGCTTTTGTTATTAGATAATCAATTATTATAAATATTAATCATTTAAAACAAATTTCAGGGATACAGTGTGTTTGCTAATAGCTTATAGCTGTCTGTGTATATTAAGCTGAGACAGGGAGTATTTTACCATCAAAACAGTTACACACTTCAGCTTAAAATTCTCTTTCATTACATTTTTTTCATTATCGGTTTTGGTTTCATTATAGGTTTTGGATTATCAAGCATGACATATATACCTATTCTTTTGAGAAATATTAAGATACTGTGATGAAAAAACAAAGTCTGGATGCGTGGCTTTGGGGTTTCACTGTACATGCCAACAATTCAATAATTCAAACCCTCATATACATCAGCAAACAAACACGTGTGGATATATATGATCAATGTATTTTTCATGCTCTTTAGAAAAATGTATTATTGTATTCAATTATGTATTATATATATATATATATATATATATATATATATAAAACATGTAAATTGTAAAGATCATGTGGTTGCGTATATCATAAATCCTTTTTTTTACAAAGGCGTTTTGCAAAACCAAACCACCAAAACTCACTATCCATCTATATAGCAATGCCACCTACTTGCAGTACTTTCACTGCTGATACTGAACCTAATTTACAACCGTCCATCCAAGTTCTTATTGAACAGCCCCCACAGACTCTTAATATCTTTCCTTGTCACTCCCCCCAGAAACATTAAATACGTGCCTTACAGATGTTATCATTGTACTGTCAGCTTGTCATGAAATGCCGGCCATGACTCATCTTTTTTGCACTTTGATGTACTATGCTGGCATTTAAATGATTTCTTAATGGAAGGTATATAGCACACACAAAAAAATAAAACCCTCTTTGTACTAACAATGAGTCACCAGCATCTTAGGTACAAGAAAAGAGTTTTAAAACAGAATAGTGATACAACCTTGAGAGAAAAACAGGAGTGGTTACTGCACGAAAACACAGACAATCACATTGTTGTGATTATTACATTCATCTAAGGAAAAAAGTCTGTATTTATTTGTTGTAAAAGGATATTCCAAGGCTAAAATCCTACATATGATCAAAAAAAAAATTCCCCACAGAGGAACATAAGTGTTAAGTTTGTTTTGATGCAAGAAATAATGTAAAAATAAAGGCAGCTAGAGGGGAAATAGTATAATTTTTTTGATATAGGAAAATATTTTAAAGTAAGATTTAAATACGCATTTATTCAATAAACAACTAATTTTTAGTTATTTCATAAATACATTATTCGGTTTAGTAAATGCATAGTGTACATAATCTTAACCCAGTCATATTTCACAAATTAATCTCCATTGTGAGTGGAAGAGTCAATTAAATGTTAAATCAAATGACCTTATAGATCAGGGGTGGCGAACTCTGGTCCTGGAGAGCCGCAGTCCTGCAGAGCTCAGCTCCAACCTTAATTAAAACTCACCTGCCTGTAGCTTCCTAGTAACCCTTCAGACCTTGATTATCTTGTTCAGGTGTGTTTGATTAGGGTTGAAGCAAAACTCTGCAGGGCTGCGGCTCTCCAGGACCGACGTTCGCCACCCCTGATATAGATAAATGATGTGTGACATTCATGTCATTATCTCTTCTGTGTATTGCCCTCACTGAACAGCCACATTTTTGTAGTTCATCTGGATGAGAGCATGGAAAGACTTTTCCGAGAATGAAGGAACAGTAAGTATCCACTTAATCTCAGCGTCCACTCCATAACAGCATGCTCATAATCGCCACCTCCCTTCCGTTTTGAGAGCTCTTTTTGGCTAAGGCAGTAATTAGGGCTCCCTGCTGCGTATCTCTGTGGCCTTACAGCTCTGTGTCGCTGCTCAAACATGTGTGGCGTGAGAAAGCGTTGGAGGAAAGACGTAATGCGGACCCTCATATCTGAATCACTCGTGTCTAATTTTCTCTCTGCTCAGAGATTCTTTGAGTCAAGACCCCTCACTGCCATCAGACAAATGTGTCCGATGAACAGCCTACAGTTTGTCAAATTTTGTTTCATAAAGCAAGAAAAAGTTGATGTGATGGATGGATGGATGAATAAATAGATAGATATAGACTGTAGAGATTATAGATAGACACAATGACAGACAGACAAACAGATTCTACATATACAGGGAGGATATCTGCATATCATACTTTTATGATATCACACTTTTTTGTATGTACACAGAACACCTTCATTAGTAAACACAACATGGCCGTCTAGGGAAAGAAAGGCCTTGTTTGTTTGGGGAAAAAACATCACGTGGGAATGAAACGGTGTTTTTTAAATCAACATTTAAATTGTATATTCACATAAATTATAAATCAATAGAACTGATGAGTTTATGAAACCATTTTTTGCAGAGATGAAACTACCATCATTAAAATAAATGCTGGGCCACATGCATTATTCTGATCCTGTCCGACCAGGATGTGAATGTGTGTTTTTTATGAGCCAGCCTGGGGCAACAACCTGGTTCGGAGGGCAACGAAATTGCTTTCATCCCTTTTCGGAATAGACAAAATTGCATTTGACCACAGTCCCTCACACTTAAATAGTGCTGTTTACTCAAACAGAAGCAGATCGGAGCTCAGAGGCCAATGATTGGAGTGTTAATGCATCCCTGTGATCCCGACACTATTACTCTATCTCTGAGTGTAATGGGATATTTAATAACAGTGATCCCCCCACAGGCCGCCAATCACCCTCATCATTTGATTTTAAAATGTTTGCAATAACCTGCGGGCCGCAGGTGTAAACATGTTGCAGGGGAGTGTGGATGCGCAAGACCCTGTGTCATTTTCTTAATGGAATTCCTCAGAGATGCAAAGGGGGAAGCCTACAAAAATAAACATCCCAGAGCCATATATATGACAGGGTAATGGGATATGAAAGGATATAATCCAAATACCTGTAAGAACCAATAAGGGTTTGAGGATGGGAGGATAGGTGGCACAGACAGTGGTGCATAAAGTTTACCTACAGCCGTGGTGTTGTTTTGTTGTAAAGATTGCTGGACCGGAACAGCGCGTTGATGTTAGAGAAGCAGAAGATGAGAAAGGCAGCCGTTCTGTTTTATCAGACAGGAATCCGTTATTAGCCTCACAAACACTTAATGGAGTATACAAGTCTGAGTCCCCTGGGTATGACAGATGTGCAGAACACACCAGCCGCTCCTGCTAACCAAATCTTGCAATATTTAGCAGCCACGTGGCGCTCAGCTTGAACATGCTCAGATGGAAAGACCATCAGTCACGTTGATATAGAAAGAGCCCCAAGTTTCCCAACATGTTATTACAGCCATTACTAAGTTTATGTGTGTGCATTTATGTGAGTGTTAAGCTAATGGAGTGACAGGCCTTTTAATCAGCCCACAGAGAGCGTGTTCTCATTACCAGCTCCCCTGATAGCACCGCTTACACTTCTGCTGGGACACTGATATCCTTCTGCTGTGGTCCTGAATGGAATCTCTTCTTCCTCGCCTTCCACACTTAACGGAACTAACATGCCGATCACAAGTCCAGCTCCTTCTAGGGATTAGCATACATCACAGGAGAGACACACACTCGCACACGCACACAGAGCCATTAGTGTATAACGTCTGGCTCGTTCGTGCATAGCAGTTGCCAATTACTTTCAGCGGGAACAGAATCCTCTTTAGGTGTCTGTGCGTGTACATCAGACAATCAGAGGGAACTGGATGGAATGGAATTCTAATGCAGCAGCAGAGGAAGCAGGTGAAATACCACTGCAACTGCTGAAATAACCACATAGGCTCACGCCAGTACAAATGTGAATAATTTATTTAAATGGAAATGGATAGGTAGAGATCATCAATGAAAAAATACTATCAAAATGCTTCATAACAAATACTGGACGATTTTCAGTATGTCCAGATGTGCAGTTGCAATGAAATGGAAGTAGTGTCAGATTTTCTCTTCTGTATTGTGACGTAGGTCCAAGTGAAACAGATTATCAAAAAAGAAAAAATGTAGGGCGGGGACTTGATTCTATCCATTGGTTACTGATTGGATTTTGAGATGTAAACAGTCCATTCAAAAATTAATGCAAGCTTGAAGTTGACTGAAAAAAAGAAGTAGGTTAAATCATTGGTGGATTAAATCATTGAAGAAGTCCTGTATATGTCACCAGAGAGAAGTCTGAAGATTGAGTTGAAATTTTGATTAAATATTTTAAAGTCAAAATATAATTTAATTCTTAAAAAAAAATAACCCTATAAATGAATGAATTGTTCACAATAAGGGTTTTTAACAAGTATTTGAAAAATAATAATAATGTATTTTATGCAGACTTTAGAGGAATATACAATTTAAGATCTGCCAACAGCAGTATCCGATTCTGTGATTTACGGTTAAATAACCAATAATAAATTAAATAATATTAAAACAAAGCAAAACTAAAATGTCTCAACAGTTATGCATTGACAATGGATGTTTTTATTCCAAAGTAAAAAAAAAAATTGAAATCCACAAGAAAGTATAGCGTTAACATCATGTTTATATGAGACTAGTGTGATAGAAACAATTATTAACCTGTGCAAAATTATTTCCAATATTTCGGCCCACTTGGCCATGTGCCACAAACGCTGTTGATAGAATTTAAAGGGATAATTCACTCCAAAATAACAATTCTGTTATCATTTACTCACCCTCATGTTGTTCCAAACCTGTATGTGTTTCTTTCTCCTGTGGACTTTTGTGAATTTTTGGTTCATATAATATATTGGGTTCAATACTGTTTGGACCCCAACATTCTTCCAAATATCATTTTTTAAGAGTTAATTTAGAGGTGAATATTGTCTAGCACCACCAAGTAAGGAATACCAGAGGGTTAAAATCAATTGGTGATAATGACTAATATCCGTTATCTTCATACTGACATTTACTTGGGTCCATAAAATCCTGATTCAAGAAATCTCAATCCACTCATACTAGAAGTGAACCAGTATGCTTACATGAAAACCGCATGTAAAGGTCACATAGACTACATTACAGATAGGCAGTACCTGTGAGTGTACATCTGTGTGTTTTTATGAATGAGTGTGTGTGGATGTGCCTGCTAGCTCTTTGGCTATGATGATCTAATGGAGCCCTGCCAAGACAAGATAGTCACCCTCACCCTCCACACGGATGCCACCTCGTCGCCCATCACCCGGCTCACGCGCCGCAATCCCGCTGCTGTCTGTAGCAGTGGGTTTGAGGAGGCAGGAGAGGAGGAGTGCTGCCACAGCGTATCCCTTTCTGCTTGCTGAACATATTCAGCTAGACAGGCGTCCCTGGAGTGGGCCAAGAAACAGATGGCTGGGGACTCGATCTCCCATCAGCGTGAAAACAGGAGCCCCGCGGCCCATCCTCCAGGGCTTCATCAGCTGCCCTGTCACACACACACTTCTCTTCCTCCACCTCTTTTAATTTGTTGTTTTAAAGATCTGCCTGAGGATATTCGGTGGCTTATTGATGTTCCTCCTCCCTGCGGCGCTACAGCAGAGCTGTTAACAGGTGTTTCAGAGACACCCCTCTGTTACAGCTCTACTTACTTGATCGGATGCGGAAAACGATTTCCACAGTGTGTCTTATCCCACACCCATGCCTTTCAACATGTGTTGTGGCACCAGTGTAAAAGAACAAAGGTACAATGACAAGAAACAAAATACGCCACTTTCAAAGAGTTTTCATGGCTTATTTTGTTTCTGGCTGCATGTACAAAGTGTTAAAATGTTGCTTGGGAAACCATATGCATCAAACACAAATCATGGCACTGGATTTTATATGGATTAATATGATTGTGACAAACATGCCCCGGCCTCAACCACAATAAACTTGCTACAATGGGAAAATAGCACAGTATACATGCTTCTGATTAATGTAAATATGGCTCCATAATTCACCTGACATGCCTGATGGAAGATATGCTCATTTTTATTTATTTATTTATTTATTTGCACAAAATGTAAGCTGCAGGCCATAGCTTAAAAATTATCTTAGCAAAAACATAAAACAGGGAAAAGCAGAATGTCAATAAAACAAAATAGAAAATAGATGGAGCCTTTTTCCATGGTAACAGTTTTGACTTTTGAAATGATTGTTACTACATTGAAATTATATTAAAAAAAAATCATACAGGAACTCCTTCAAGAAACCTTCATCATAATATTTCTTAAACATTCAGAATTTAATTTTAAAATAATTTATTATATTATTATATTATTTTATTACTAAATTTAAATAAATTTTACCTAACTTTTTAAAATAACAATGGTTAAAACAACATTTTTGACTGGATGACTGTATATATAATTAATTTTAAATAATTAGTTTGGCATAATCTTTTATTATTACATCTTCTAAAAATATTTTTACACAAAGCTTTG